GTAAGTGCCGTTATGTCGGCTACTGAAGCTTTGGAAACAAAGCTTTTAAAATTGAAAAGAGCAATGCTACTCATTTTGCCGTCTTCTCCTGTGCCATCATTACTAAGCAACGGGGTAAACAGCTGCTGGCTTGATGACGCAAACAAACCGCGGTTCGGACCCAAATAAAATAATGTGAACACAGTCCAGCGGGGGCAGGGGGAGGGGGGAGCAATCGAACTCGGTTAGGACCAAGCAATCGAACCAAGTGTGAAAGCACACTAAAAAACATGTCTCATCTCAGGGATTTGAAAATGAAAGAAATAATGGGGTGTTTCCCTTATTGGTAAAAACCCACATTTAAGTCTTTAATGACCCAGTTGTCATCTTGTAAATAACTTGTTTGTGCCTAAGACCTTGTTGTTATGAGATTGACATGAACGGTGTACAAATGGATTCTTTGAGAGTTTGATCAACAAACGCAGAATTTCCTTACCTGCAGAATCACTGAGACCTTCATGCAGTAGACTGACTCTCTGAGCAATGCTCAGTGCTCGAATATGCACTTTCTCTGCCAGTACCTGAGGCACAAACATTCACACATTATATCTGAACTTATAGCGTACACTACCATTCAAAAGATTTGGGTCAGTAAGCTTTTCTTTTGAAAGAAATGAACACTTCTATTCAGAAAGGAAGCATTAAATTGATCAAAACTGACAAAGTTTTTTTTTTGCAGTTCCCACAAAAAAATAAAAATAAGCAGCACAACTGTTTTCAACATGTTTATGTTTCTTGAGCACCAAATCAGCATATACGAATGATTTCGGGATACTAGAGGCTGTTGAAATTTCAGTTTTGTCATCACAGGAGCAAATTATATTTTAAAATATATAATAACAGAAAAATCATATTTTAAGTTGTAATACATTTCACAATATTTCTGTTTTGACTGTATTGACGCTTAAATAAATGCAACCTTGGTGAGCATAAGAGAAAAATCGTACTAACCCCAAACATTTAAACTGTAGTGTACGTTATACATATCTGGAATAAACATTTTCGACCTTTTAAAGCATGTTAGTCATTTGGCTTTTTCAAACAATTTTACCTGATAAGCAAGTTTCCTGACTTTCTCTTTGACGTCCCAGGTGCGCTTGTAGATTTTAGTAAGTGTAGTGGCCGAGGGAGCGATGCAAGACAGCACAGCTCGTCTAACTTCAGGGTTTGAGTCATTTTCCAAAAGCAGCATATAAGCTAAAAACACAGAATAATCACTTTTACCTCGTTTTAATTTATATTCTTGAAAAATCATGGATCAGTAACAAACATGTTAACTAGGGATTGTAGCTCAATGTCCTTTAGCATGAAGTATGAGCACTCTGAGTACCTTTAATAGTGGGGCAGTCCAAGTTACTGGGGTCCTGGATTCTGGACATGGCCAGTGCTGCCTGAATCCTGACATTAGGGTATTTGTCTGTGACTCTGATCAGCATGGCCTCATGGATCCTATCACACAGATCATCATCAATCTGAGCATTCTCACTCAGACTGCCCAGCAGCTTATTCACCAGCTGACAAACACGAAACCGCACCGCATGGCTGTTTGCACCATGAGACTGAGGGAGAGACAAAGATAGTAAAGATAAGAAATCTAACGTAAACAAGTAACGCTATGAGATGCGCTCGTCAGTATGCTTTCTCTCAGGCCAAATGCCTGCATATGAGTGACATTACCTCTAACAGGAAGTTGAACAGGAAGTTCAAAAACTCATTCTCGTCTTCCTCCTCCTCCTCTTCAGCATTCTCATTAACAGGAGTTTCGAAACTTGCAGCAAACTTTGTGACAAAATCAATGACATTCTCCACTGCCGGCTCTCGGGTGTAAATGATCATGGCATACTTCAGGCAGCGGATGAACTCCTCATGGAATTCGGTCTTATCTTCCAACTACACAGAGAGAACAGAATTAAAATAGATCTCTTATTCAGAATATTTTTTAATGTATCAGACAACAATGTAGGAAAATATCCTATGCAACTAAAATACCATTCTAAAAATTTGGGGTCAATGTATTACATGTTTTCAAAAGAAGTCTCGTATGCTCATAAAGGCTGCATCTATTTAATCAAACTTACAGTAAAAAAAATTCTTGTGAAATATTATTACAATTTAAAACAAATGTTTTCTATTTCAAAATGTAATTTCAGCAGACATTCATATTTCCCGGCATTGGCAATAATATACAAAGAGGTTATGGTGGGAGATTTCTAAATTTATAAATGACAAAGTTGTGCAATTTTCTTTTACTATATACTTTTTTTTGTAGTTTTCTATATCTATATATATCTATATCTATATCTATCTATATATATATATGTGTGTGTATTTCAGATGCAAGTATCCCCTCGGCAGTTTTGTTATGAAATTGTTCAAGCATAGATTTCAGTGTCATATGATCCATAACAAATCAATCCAGTATGCTGATTTGGGGCTCAAAAAACATTTCTTATTATTATTATCAATGTTGAAAACAGTTGTGCTTTTTGTGGAAACTGAGATGCATTACATCATGATAAATAGTTTTAAATACAAGACTAAATTTTGTAGTAATTTCAGTCATTTATCAACTAAATGTATCTCCCCAAAAAAACACATTTCAGACCCCCAAATATTGAAGGGTAGTATATCATAATGTGAATTTTATCATGCACATCTGCTGTACCTTATTATATCGGTTCTTCAAACTGGCAACAAGTTTGGCCTTGTTATTATGAGCTTTCTGTGCTCGCCGGAAAGCCTCTTCAATCACCAGATCACTGTCTCCAGACATGTTGAAGTTACTGAAACACAAACACAAATTACATGCGTGAATATATGATATTGTTTACAAAACCAATACACCCATTCATTTCAGACAGATACCAAAAGAAAGACACCTACTTGAACATGTATTTTGTTTTTAGTTGTTTTAGCGTTAGCTGTTAATAGCACACTTCACAGGTTAAAGTTAATTAGTCACAGCAGAAGTCAAATAGAGTTAACTCAGCACGACAGAATCGTTACCTGATCTTTCCTCGACCCATCGGACACTTTTAATGATCTAAATAAAGAGTTATTCGTTAAATGACCTAGCATATACTACACAACTAGATGACATCCCATATTAAATAAAACAAATAAACAGGTGAAACAGCTGAATAAAATATAATATTCCCTGTGAAACAGAGGTTTGTTTGTGTGAAGGAAGGAAATTAGCGACTCCTGCTGTTAGCATCGACCGTTAGCATCGACACAAAAACACGAAGACTCATAACTCATAATTATAATTTTAGCGAATTATAGTTTGCCAGAGCATTCATCCTTGTTCGTGTCTCTGCATAATACTTAATTTCTGATCAAGACGTTTTGGGGGATATACTTTAATCCGTGTCGTACCTGCAGGAAATTGCTTTTGAGTCTTCTAGCTTGAAAAACGGTGAAGCGCCACTTTTCAAACCGTCCTCTCGCGAGAGTATCGTAGGACCGCCTCCTTCCGCTTCTGGCTGTCAATCACAGCCAGCTGTAATGCGTTCATTCCTTAATGTTGCTCACTACGTAGTTGGCCAATACTATTCCTACAGGCGGCGTTCAGAGGCTTAGTAAGAGCAGCGTTAAACTTCGTTTCATATCCTTTTTTATGGAGTAACGCAATATTGTAATGCATTACTTTTAAAAGTAACTTTCCCCAACACTGCTAATTAATATAGCTGTTTAACTTTATTATTTAGTTATTTGAGACTGACATAGAAATATATAGAAAGTCTGCTGGCTGAATATATTTAGCAGCTTCTACAGTTAAAGATAAAACCTAAAGCACTCTTTTTGATGAGTCCTTGATGAGGCAATATTTGAAAATTGTAGTTTTTAAAATCTAAAAAAAAAGAGTATTTAATGCATTATTATTTAATGATTATACCATTAAAAGTTAACTTATTTTTTTGTTGACTTGTTAAATATTCAAATAATTAACCCTTCTAGGCTTGTAGGCAATTTTTTTTAAATGACACGAGACTGTGGATTTTGTGACTTCCTGCACTTGCTATACTTCAGTCATTTTGTAATAAATCCAAAAGCAAGACGTGAAAAAAACTAGGGAGTGGAAATTGCAACTGAGCTAATGAGTGATCCTCTGCTTCCATCTACTGGTTATACTGGTAATTTCATGTCATTTTCATCTTACAAGTCTTTGTTTTCCACCAGGAGACAATTTTTCATGTCATCTTCATGAATGAATAATGCAAAAACTGACACTTTAAATCAACATTTCAAACAACAACAACAAACCAAAAACGGATAAAGACAAAAAGTGCTCACTGAGAATATCTAAACGTATCCAAATGTAATAAAATGAATTTATGTGTGATTACAATTTCTTAGCAGCTAGGGATTGCATAAACCAGTTTACATATTTTACATACGGCGATACAGGCATCTAGTGGCTACAATGGTTTTACAGATGAGAAATAGTGCAAAATGTATATCTTTATATCACAAATATAATTTGGGAAATGCATCAATGTTGCTATTTATATACAAGGCCTACTTGTAATCAGATTATATTACGTTTTAAAATGCTTATAATCAGATTACAGTTTTAATGTATTACATGATTACATATTATTCACACAAAGACAGTAAATTATTCATGATTTATTGATTCACGCCAATTCTTTTTTTTTCTTCTTCTTTTAAATTTTCCGTTCTAACTGAACCTACCTTCTAACGAAATATGGTTCAGATATGTATGAGGATTTCACTTTTCCCATTTATTTAAAATAATGCGTAGGCTACGCACGTAATTTTCTACCTTTATCATTTACTGTTTATCGAGGACAGAGAAAATCGGTTATTTTTATTGACCTATTCTTGATGCTTTTGTTCATAACAAAACGATCTGAATCTTTAAGCACTCACAAATCAGATGTAGGCCTAGTATCTGTAAAGAAACCGAGGCGTGGAAATAGCGCGTGCTTATGTTTGTTGTGCTGCTGGGTGTGTTGGTGCTCCTGGGAGGGGTTATGATTACACTGCAGTACCCGTGACTCGTAATGTAGACTGTAGTCACACCCCGGGTGAGAGACAGGTGTTCGGGCTGGGTGCACATGCCGTCAGTGAGTCGAGGAGCGCCGATGGCATTATCTCGTGAGCTGTGCGCTCACCGGCAGCTCGACGGGCGCTGCAGCATGCACAATGCTTTCGGCTGTCGTACGGACTCTAACGTTACCTTCAGGATCACGTAGAGGCGACCCGGGTGTTGCGCAGCCCAGCTTGTGATTGATCAGCGTGGTTATTATGGCTTCAAGCTCCGGGAAGATGAACCAGACCCCCGGCGGCAGCGGTGCATGTAACGGGACCGCTATTGCGGATATCCCCAGTGTGAATGTAGAGCATGAACTGTTTGATTATCAAATGCACAGGAAAATGTGCAAGAAAATAGCGCAGCTGACAAAGGTAAGCGCGTTATTTTACTAGCCTACTCAACTAACGGGACTCATTTGCTGAACCTTTTTGCTACCTACTGCGCAAAATTTACGCTACATCACTTAAATGTAGCCTACTTAACGGCAGGGTTTAAGACAGTAGATAATATAAATTATTGACACGTATCAGTATTTATGCTGTCTGAGCCACTGGCGTTTTTTCCTGGAATGCAACAGGGTTTTAATGCACTCAGCGTCGCATCACTGTCTTTCCATTACAGGTGATGCAGGTAATCCAAGACAAGTCACGATTTCAATAGATGTGGAGTGGAGTTTGTATAGTTCAGGGAGGGCTAGTGAAGTTCACGCTGCAAAGGGCTCATCTAAAATAATCTGACCCGTGGGTGATCACTGGCAACAGAGATGTGGTGGGTTATTTATCATCAGGTTTAGATGGGTGTGAAGAACCACCCATTCACAAGCAAGCAGCATCCAGTTGTTATGACCAGTAGAAGCTTGTAACCTGAGGTTAAAGCAGCAGACTAGTTCAGCTTGGCCAACAAAAATACTACATTTTAGTTAAAATAAGCCATATTTGTTACAGTGTTGTGTTTGTTCCACTAGCAAAAAAGCACACTGGATTTATGTTTTTTAGGATATAATGTATACTGCATATACTGCAATAGTAATATTTGTTGAAAGCTACCATTTTTGAATAGTGCCAAGGAAATAATCAATAGGTTATTGACATTACGTGAATATTGTAATCTTTCAGTACTGAGGTGTATATTATAGTTCCATCATATTTATCTAATGGCACCTTAGTACTTTTTCTGATGGCCTTAGTACTTAGTACTTTATAATTTCTTATTTATTCATCTTTAGGACTGTAAACTCACAACCATGGTTGCAAAATGCAACTTCCTAGAAGAAAACACAGTTACACAAACTTCCCCTCATATTGCCGTTTCAGTTTGAATTATGCATTTTTGGTTAAACTGCACCTTGATGATGTATGATAAAACCAATAGCCATAATTCTATCTGACACTGCATGAAAAATGATTACCCTCTTGGTCAAGTATAATTATGAAAACATGAATGGCTGTATTATCTACACACTATTAATGCCTAATACATACAATTGGGTCAATTGGGCCTGTACTTTATGAATCCTTAAAATGTTTGGTCATCTTTACTAGGATTGCAAAAGGAACAAAAATAGCTCAAAATAAGGGTTAAAAACTCATAATCCCTATATGTCCTTGAAATAGAGCACTTAAATATTTATTTACAATACTTTGTCATTTTGGATTTTTTTTAAAAACATACCAAGTAACTAAACAACCTACATGCTTTTCACAGCACATGAAATTAAATATAAATGAGCACAACATTTTGATTATCAACAAAACTAATTGAAACAAACACATCTACACACACTTACCTATATACTGGGAGTTTCAGTTTTAATTATGTGTTTATGGTTAAACTGCACCTTGATGATGTATGATAAAATCAATAGCCATAACCATATCTGTCACTGTGTGAAAAATGATTACCCTCTTGGCCAGTTATGAAGTGTAACTATGAAAACATAGAGGTTAAAGGCTATAATATCTACACACTATTAATGGCTAATGCATACACCGTCATCTGGATCTGTTGAGGCAGGAGAAGGGAAGTGAGAGAGTGTGTATCAGGTTTTATTAGTATGAACCTTAGTCAGTGAAGATGCCATATTTACTGAGAATGAAAAGAAGGCTGTGAGGGATGTAAGCCTTTTCTATGGGCTGTTTTTCTCTGGAATTGATTTTGGAGTTTTTTTTTCTTTTCTTCAGTTTGATACCCAGGTAAACAACAGTGAAAGCTATTGAACGGACTGTACGCATGTCCCTCAAAGCCTCGTTTTCATTCTTGTCAAATGAAAAAATGGCGTCTGCCCTGACTAAGGTCCACTGGGGTTAGGAACATGGAAATGGCAGCACTGTTACTAAACAAAATAGGTCAGGGCTTGAAGTTTAAACCTGTGTGTGTGTGTATGTGAGCTTGAATGCCACAGCTGTGTGGAATCCCTCTCTCTATCATCATGTAAACATATTCCTAATAGTTATCTTTAGCTGTGTGTGTGTGTGTGTGTGTGTGTGTGTGTGTGTGTGTCTATAAGAACAGATGTGTGAGTCATGCCCTCTCTACATTCGGCTCAGCTTTGTGACGCTTCGTAATGCTACACACCAAGCCACACTATTTTTACCATGCAGGAGCATAGGAGATTTGATCTACTTCAGTCTCATATTGATATAAGAGCATGATGGGAATGCCATGGGTGGTGTGACACTAAATGCTAAAAAAGCTCCAATCAGGGGTTTGTTTCCTGTACAACATTGCTAGTCACAACTCTTTAACATGGTTGCAGTTCCATCATTTAAACCATGAGAGCTTACCAATATAGGGCTGTCATTAATGACTTGGTGGTGGAGTAATTACGTTTGCTAGTTAATCAGTTCAAAAATCACAATTAATGTGAGATTATTATAGTTCATTTATGTTAGTATGCAGTATGTATTTGGCATACACTACTTGTAGTTCACAGCTTTCTCCACAACGTAATTTCTTTGAGATGCTGCTGTAATAAACAAGGACTACTTCATTATATATAACCCATCATTTTGTTTCATTTGATGTTTGATTCATTCCAGGTTCTTCAAATGTATGCACTTACGCACTCTTCGAAACGGCGCTGATTATAGCTGAAGCTAAAATATATAGATTGATATTTAGATAGAATGAAATATATAGAATGTACTGCATATTAGCTTGCTTATTTTACTTTATAGCATGAACTATTGAAGTCCATATTTCTTACTAACAAGAAATTATACTTTTACAAACCACAGAAGTTTGCAATGCTGATTCTGGGAAATGGTGACTTGTTGAACTATGTTGGTAATCATAGAATTTGTGACCATACTTCTATAGTTTTGGGAAAGCATTGTTTGCTTTGAGTGACTGCAACCTAACTTTCCATCTTATTTATAATTCTGACAGATATTTAAAAGGTAGCAGGTTGATATTATGAACATTTATGAGGAATAACTAATCACTGGATTTACCAAAAAGCTGTTCAGAGTTTTGTTGGACGCACATAGAAGCAAGCAAACTAAATATTCAAGCAGTTTTCTATCTGTGAAAAAAAAGTATGTCTTACTTTTTGGGTGATCAGAAATTGCAATCTCAAAGCCTGCACATATTTCCATTAATTTATGTAGTGTTTCCTGTACAACTGTTCATCGATGTCAGATAAACCGAAACAAAACAATCTGCGGTTGGTCATTTTACATATCAGATGGCCACTTGGAGAGTTCTTGGTCAGATTACGTCAAAAGTCTGGCTGGGCAAGACAACTCACTCTCCATCAAACAAAGATAGCTGCAAACTGTGGACAGAGAAAATCTGGTGACTCTCAGTAGCTAAACAACCACTGATCCCATCAATGACAATAACTATAGCAATGACTAATTATAAAGATTAATTATCATTCCAATTCTATGAAAATATTAAAGTCCACAGTGCAGCAATAACGGTAACAGATCAGAGGAATGGTATTGTTGGAACCACTTTCTGAATGTTTTTTTTCCAGCTGATAAATGATTAAACATTGACGGCTAATCAGAATCTACTTGACTTTAATAGCTTGAGCATTTAAACTGGCACATGCTTATAATAAACTGAATCTTATCGTGTGTTGGAATGGATGCTAATATAGTTATCATTCTTGGTGTGAACGGGCTCACACACACACACACACACGCACACACACACACATACGCACACACATGCACACACACACATGCACACACACACACACACACACATACACGTACACACACACACACACATAAAAACAGTTCTGTGACAAGTGATATTGATTTAAATGTATAGAAAAATGTGTTTCACACTTGACGTTCTCATTACATGTTCAGTCTCTGAATAGGCCTATACATATTTCCATATGATAAAGTATGCAAAAAGCAGTATGTCAGTTGAGTAAGCTGTCCAAAGACCTAGTATTCATGATATAACCTTTGTCCTATCCCATTATGTCACAGGATCTGAAAGCTAAAAATCTGTAAGCTATATATATATATATACACACACACACACACAAACATACACACACACACACACACACACATGCACAGACTCAATAAATTCCCTAGCCGTGTCAGAAATGGCTGTTATAAGCAGTATTAAAATGCAGACAAATGGATAGAGAAACAGATGCAGACAAATGCTTCTATCATTTGTGTTTGTTAAGGAGGAAGAAGGAAAGTAAGACAGCATGTATCAGATTTCATTAGTATGGATCGTAGTGAGGCAAGGTGCCATATTTGCAGAGAATGAAAACAAGCACAAATAGATTGAGAGAGACAAGGATTTCAGCACTTTCTATTTAAAATAATAATATATGTAAACAAAAAAAAAAAAACAGTTCCTTTAATCTGCTCTTTATCCTCATTTTCTCTCTGTCCCAGTCCATTCCAGTCTGCTAGGTAAGTTATGAGTTCTGTCGCTCTATATAAAGCTAGCAGACATTTCAGTCATACAGATATATGACATTGCTTTCCCTTTTATTCTGTGCACCGTAAAACATGAGAGTTCATGTTCAAGGACTGAAAGGGAGAGAGAGAGGCAGGGAATAGAAAGAGGGTGAAAGTTATAAAGAGGAGTCAGGGGACAGACAGAGAGAGAGAAAGAGAGAAGGTGGTCAGCTTACAGAAACACTGGGGGGAACAGGAAAAGAGCTAGAGAGAGAGAGAGAGAGAGAGACGGGTGAGTGAAGAGAAGGAAGAGTGACTTCCTGGCAGTTTATCATATGGAATGTCCAGCTCTGCTGCGGCGGCGATTTACGACAGACAGTCAGGCGTCATGGTAACACACGACCCGCTGGAGGGATGAGTGAGACGTTATCTGATGACACCCCAGGCACGGGGACTTGTGGGTAGGACACATTGATGGAGAGCCAAAGTGACACATAATATTAGGACTCCCTCATATGCCCACACATTCAGACTCAAATACACAAACGCCCCGTACATGTTATGAAACGTCACTTTATGCAAATAGGGTTCAAAATAGCTTTGTTTTTGTTTTTTTGACAAATGGTCAGTGAAAGGAGGTGATCAACCCTCATAAACTGTGTATGAACAACTAAATAATATAGCTGTTTTATTGTCTGTTCATTTTATAAGGTTTGCAATTTTTTCAACCCTGTTACAAAAAATAAATAAAGAAATAATGCCGTTCAGAATCTTTTTTTGTGTACTTTTTGTATTTTTACAACATTAATCATTAAATAAGCATCAAAGTTAAATTGAATTTAACTTTACATTTTCATTCAGCCTGTCTGCCATTTGTGTTCAGACCAATGCGAGAAATTGGACCACATTTCCACAATCTCAACCAGTAGATGGAAAATAAGCTCAAAATCTCAGCACTTTGGATAATAAAGTAGCCTATGCAGAATTGTTTATGGAGCAGATGAAGTGCCTATAATTTATCATTTTATATCATTTTTTTTTTAGTTATTTGAACTTAAGATTAGTCAAACTTTATTTGAACATGCACATTAGTAGATAACATGTTATGCTGTAAGTCACCTAGCCAATATTTTTTATGCAAACAAAAAGCACATAGTGCTGCTAATTTTATTTGTTCTTTGTTGGTTTTTGACATAAAGCTTGGTGAAATGATTTTAGTGTGTGTATCTGTACTTTTTGATCATTTCCAGCACATTTTAACAATACCATGAAAATACTGATAACCGTGATCATTTTAGTCACTATAATCGTGATGTGAAATTTTCATACTGTTTCATCATACTGTTTTACCATAAATGAAAGAAAAACAACTTTATTTCATTTTTTTGTCTTTCAATTACGGATTGAATGATTTCACTTCAAGAATGCAGTCTTCACACTGTATTTGTAAGACTTTTGTAAACATAATTACATTATATACTTCCCACCATGCTGTAGAAAGTGTTCAATTAATGCTTAATCTTAGGTGTCAATGAATTATTTCTTGGGAACTTCAAGGAATGTTGCATAATTGTAATGGAGAATAAATCTAGATAGATAACAGATAACAGGGTTGTGCACAAAATGTGGGAGGTGGGACATCGGAATTGTGGTTTCTTACTACAATGTCTTAAATATAATTTTAACAGATTATGTCAAAATTGTTGGATAAAGTCAAGACCTCTGAAGTGGGACAGACCTAAACCACTATTGTAGGAGATGATATAGAAGTACAATGTGTTCATCCATCCACTTTCCACCACTTATCCGGGACTAAAACTTATTAAAACTTATTACTTGTTCATGTTCAGATAAATAGTTTATCTAACACATTCTTACAACAAAAACTTGGGATTAGTGCCTCTAATGCTTGAAACATGCCTTGGGACACTGATGTGAAAGTTGCACAGTTGCACAGCTGTGCACAAGCAATTGCAACAGACATCTGCAGATCATAAGCACACACACACACACACATATACACACACACACACACACACACATATACATACACGTACACATACACACACACACACATATACATACACGTACACATACACATACACATATACACACACATACACACACACATACACATACACATACACACACACACACACACACACACACACACATGTACTAGATAAACTGCAGCTCAATAACTGCAGACTGTGACTGATTCGATCAGAGAGGTGAAAGATTTCATCAGTAAGAACAAGACGCTATAGGCCTGGAATGACACTTCTACAAATAAAGCTTCCAAAAGGGGGGGTTTTGCAGTGATGCAATAGAAGAACCATTTATGGTTCCCAAAGAGCAGTTCTTAACATTTTTTTTTTGTTTTAAATAATCTAAATCTATAGAACCTGTTTTCACTATAAATAACCTTTTGTGCATTAAAAAGGTTAATGGATGTTAAAGGTTCTTCATGCAACCATAGATGCCAATAAAGATCCTTCATTTTTAAGAGTGTGATGTTAACATACACTCGTGTACTTCAATCCACAGTGCAAATAAATAATTTTTCTGTGTTGTCTAGCCATTATAACTGTGTTTTAATTATATTTATGTGTGTGTGTGTTTTATGTATAGGTGATATATTCCTTAAACACTAAGAATGAGGAGCAAGAGGCAACTCTGCAGTCGCTTCGCCGTGTTGCCACGGAGACGCAGGGCAGCCTCCAGCCAACCACAGGTCAGGATGAGGAAGAAGAGGAGTCAGCATCTATTCTGAGGACACGCCTTCTAGAGCTGCAGGCCACTGTAGAGGAAGTAAAAACATACACACGTATTCATTATAAGCATATTAAATGGATAGAATCACTTCATTATCTTAGGATGTGTGGATGTGTATCCGTTTCAGGTGGAGGAGCGTGGACAGAGGGCTGAAATTGAGTGTGTGGAGCGCATAGCTGTGTTAACCCAAGAGACGTCAGATCTGCGCAGAGACTACCAGAATCTGCAGACAGAGAGAGACAACCAACACAAATTACTACAACAAACACAGGAAGAAAACAAGCGCCTAGAGAGCGAGTGCCAAGAGCTACGCAGAGCCAGAGATGAAGAGAGAAAGCGAGAGGAGGAGGAGAAGATGCATAGAGTGGAGGAGGAGAGGAAGAGACAGTCACAGGAGAGAAAAAGACTAGAGGAGGAGTGTGAAGAAAGGCTGAAAGCCGTGAGAAAGGAGCTTCAGGCTTGCAGGGAGGAGAAGGAGAGAGCGGAGAAGGAATGGAAGAGAGATGTGGAGGAGTGGAAGAGGAGAATGAAGGAGATGGAAGAAGAGAAGAGGGAGGAGCAAAAGGCAGCTGAGAAGACACTACAAAAGAGCCTCAATGAACACATCAACCAATGGCACCAGAGAGAGCAAGAAAACCGCAAGTCCCAGAATGCAACACTTCAGCAGAGGCTGAGAAAAGCCGAGACAGACTTGGAGGTTCAAGAACAGAGGCTGAATGAGAGCAACAGACACTGCAGCAAACTTCAGGAGAGAGTAGAGGTAATTAAGTCCAAAATGAACTTTTTGACACTTCTGCCCATTCCAGGTGAATCCTGACAATCTAACACCCTTAAAGGTCCCCTGAAATACTTAGAAACACGCAGCGTTACTCTATGTGTTGACGTCATTTTAACTGAAACAGGAAGACAGGGCGGGACATATCAAGCAGCCACGCCCCTTTTTAAAATAGCCAATAGCGTTCGTTTATATCACAGCTTGGGCTGGGTTCAGAGCCGTTGAGCTCC